ATAAATATTATATTTTATATCTTTATCAATAAATTCAACTTGCTTAATTTACTTTAAAATTCTAGTAATCTTAGTAATTGAACCAATCTGAAAATTATAGCCTGGATAACTCGATTAATCTGGGTAAATAATTTGTATTTCTTACCTATTTAATATGGTAGTCAGCATATATTTCATCAATAATATGACCTCGCGTAAAATGCAAAGCGCCCTATTCATGACCAAATTTTGAGTTTAACGGATTATAGATTTTGTGATAACTCTAATCTTTATGTATATATATATGAGTGTCAGAGAGCGAAAACCTGTAAGTAAATATTTGACCTCAAAATATTGTACGATTTTGGCAAATCAAATTTCAAGGTCAGGGTGATCTTGAAGTTTGATTGGTAAATGTAGTTATTTAATTAATATACTGTATAGATATATAGATAAATCATTAACTGCCAAAATTAACAATTTGCGCGAGATACGTATGATATGATTTGTGCATAGGTCATAAAACATCATCTTTCGCGAAGTACATTTCTGGTTAACGTATGAAAATAAAACTAGTTCAAATTCCAGATTCTATATTTGATTTCTAAAAAATTAGAAAAAATTCTATCGCTATTATAATTCAATTAAAACGATATCATAGAATCAATTCTCAACTACAATATATTCTTTACTTTGCAAAAAAAAAAAAAAGAAAATTATTTTATTGAGCAACAAAAAATTACAATAGTATGTAATAAAGTTATTCTATAAATTGTTGAGATTTTTTTTAAGAAAAAAAGGAAATATATACAAAATATTCAAAAGATTGTTCAAGTGATATATGATAAATAAACGTATTCGTATTTAATGTAAGTCATTAAGTTCAATAATATGTGATAAAAAAAAAAAAAACAATTATTTCTGTAAAATTTAATATTAACTCAAAATAAAAGTAAATTTCCTATATCGTATAACAATAAATTATGTATAATAATAAATTATTTCGAGATATTTTTTCTCTTTTCACAATTATCTTTAACTCTTTGTCGATCTTCTGGTGTAGCTTTTTTCCATCTCGTAATTATATTTCTTCTTTCACCAAATTTGCTGATATACTTTTCAGCAGCTCTTAAATTGTCAGGTTCACTAGCAAGATAGCTATGTTCTAATACCCAATCAATGGACTGATACTTTATATCATCTTTTGATTCTTTATCCTTTTTAGACTTTTTGTCAGTTTTATCCATCACAGTCCAGATTAATAAATGATTATTCTCTTCATCTAATTGATCAATATTTGCACCATGATTAAGTAATGAATTCAGCGTTTCAATTGGCCATTTGTTTTTGATAGCTATAAATAATGCATTTGGAGCAAAATAACGATCAGGAAGTGTAACTCCACAAGGGATATTAGGATTAGCACCTTTTTCTAATAATAAATCAATTATTGAAACATAATTTTTAGTTTTATATCTTTTGATCAAATAATTTGCCAATATTGTTCGTTTTGAAGATTTATCTATAGCATTAATATCACAACCATTATCTACCAAAAAACTTATCGCATCTTTAATATTTTTACAATTTTTTTCTTCAGATAATTTAGAATTTAAGGGTAAATAATGTAATGCAGTTTGTTTAGTGTCGCCACAAACTACATTAAAGTTAGCGCCAAATTCTTTTAAAACATTAAATATTTTGATCATTGCTTCACCATTACAATGTTCAGAAGCTATTAAAACGAGATATTTTTCTGAACCACCAAAATGATATAATTTGTCAACATCATCTATACCACTTTGAAGATGATATCGTAAACCATCAAAATCACCTAATCCAACATGATAACAAGGATTACATGTTGTAGGTTCTTGGAAATTTATAACACCATTATATTCATTAATATATTTTTTCAATAATTCTTGACACATTTCATCAGGTGACTTTTGAATTGTTTGGTTAATTATTTGGTGTTGATTTTGTTGATTTTGGATCATATTTTGGCCAGTTGGCTGATCAAATCGTCCATACAAATGACTTTGTGAATGAGCCTGTGAATGAGCCTGTGAATGAACATGAGGAATGAACCCTGTTTGTGCTTTATTTTGGTTTATATTTTGACCAGTTGGTTGTTCAAATTGTACATGGTAACTTGGTGGAATTACTTCAGTTTGAGCTACATTTTTGTGAATGAAATTTGATGAATTTGAATCTTGATTTGAAATAGGGATCTTTGGTGGAAGAACAGGTGGTTGCTTTGAATTTAACGGGCTCGAATTTAACGGACTCGGATTTAACGGGCTCGAACTTAATGGGCTCGAATTTTGCTGATTTATATTTAAATTATAGTTTTGAGGTGGTGGTGCTTGATTAGGATCACTTTGTTGGAAATAACCATGTTGATGTGGTGATCCTT